GCTATCACCCAAGGGTCATTCCCAGCTTCTAGAGGCCATCTGAATTCCTTGGATCTTTGGGTGGTGGAAGATCTCTTCTACCACCTTCAAAGCCAGCAGCAGAGGATTATTAGTACCTCTCACACTTTGAATCCAACCAACTCTCCTGCCCTCCTCTTCCACTTTTAAGGGCTCATGAAATTACACTGGGCCCACCAAAATAATCCAGAATAATCTTCCCATTTTAATGTCTTTAACTTAATTCCATCTGCAAAATCCTCTTTGCCATGTACTGTAAAATATTCACAGACTCCAAGGACATCTTGAGGGCCATTATCCTGCCTACCACAGCCTCCCTAGGAGACACCAACTCCTGTCCCTTCCAAGCCTGCCCTCTCCTGTGTTCCAGAATTCCTTCTTTCCCCTGAAATCCTGACCACCTTATAGTTCATGGAACAGGTCAAGGTCTCTTTCCCCACCTGGCCCTTGTATGTGCTTATCCTTCTGACTGGAGCACTCTCCCCCTCCTCTCATCACCCCACTCATCCTTCAGGTCCCAGCAGTCAGCCCACACGTGCCCTACTCCAACTGGCTCAGCACAACTCTCTGCAGAGGAATTGAGTTTTTGAGTCTGCTTCATCACCACCTCTACCCTCCCCTATTTGTGAGTGGGTGAGGGAGGAGCCTGTTCTGTTCATCAGCAGATCCTGATGCCTATGGTAGAAGGAAGGGAGGAAGCAGGTGAGGGCCCCTTTGGGGAGGTTCAGCCCTCATCCCACTTCCAGGGGCTTTAGAGCGAGGGCCACTTAGGTGCCAAAGCATGTTTGAGATGTCACAAAGATGAAGGCAGCCAGGGCCCTCCCTCTACCCCCAGCCCCAGCTCAGGCCCCGCAGGCTCAACCAGGAGCCCTAGCTCCTGACTCGGCCAGGTGGTCACCTCTGGGCTGCCCTCTCTGGACCACCCACATCTGCCCTGATGGCCAAGTCTTCTCCCACCACACTGGGGGCCCCTGAGGAGCCCTAGAGGAGCAGTTGTATTTATGAGTGGGATCCCTAGAGAGGAGTGGTCAGTTGGTGTGGGCAATGGAGCAGGGTGAGCCAGCCTGGGCCCCACCTGCCCAGCCATCGATGGGCACCGAGGCCTTGATGGGTGTGCTGGCTCTAAAAGTAGAAAAGGGGCACAGGGTCCAGACAGGCCTGGAGAGAATAAGACACACAGACCTGAGCCTGGCCCAGAGCCTCAGGCCATCCCCATCCCAAAAAGCCACCAGGCAAAGAGAGGAGTATGTTGGGTCACCCACTCTGGGCAGGAGTCCCCTTTATTTGGGTTCGCTGCTGGGTGGCTAGACGCTGCAGATGGCCCTCAATATGGACCAGGAGGGTATCCAGCATATGCAGAACCCCAAGGAGTAGGGCACGGTCTGAGATCAGGGCCCGTTGTTTCCAGGGTGCACAGGGGTTAGCCATCACCTGTGGATGCTGAGGATAGGACCAAAAGGCAGGAGTGAGAACAGAGGAACAGGACACAGGTGTGGTGGGAAAGGGGACTTAGGGTGATGGAGGATCGTGGCGGGCCTGTTGTGGCCTAGTATGGTCATGGGGCCCATGGAGGCTGGATGAGGAATAGGGATATTAAAGAAGGAGGATGGGGCAGGGTACTACCCATGGGAAATGGCCAGGGACTGTTGGGTGTGGACAGATATAGGGACCCTGGGGTGTGAGTGATGGGGGAGGGGCAGGGGGAGGGGCAGCAGGAGGCCCAGAAGACATGAGTGGGAGGATGGGTAGAGAATTATGAGCTCACTGGGTATGAACAGAGGTAGGAGGCTGTGGGGACACAGCAGTGCCATGCTCACCTCACTCTTAGTGGCCTGTGAGCGCCGCCGTTGCATCACCGCACGGCTGAGCATCAGCATCATGGTAGTGGCGACGGTGACCCCAGCCACTGGGTAGAAGCGGTTCACCCCCAGGCCCATCCAATGGCCAGGACACCCCAGGCTGCCCTTGCAACCCTCCAGGCTGTTCGGCTGGCACCCCCAGGGCTGTAAGTCCAGCCCCACCTGGTACCACAGGGGCCGTGACCAGGTGTCGGTGCGGACAGGCAATGCTAGCAGAAGCAGCCATGGCAGGAAGGGCTGTGCGTGCAGCATGGCTGCTGCCAGTACTAGGGGCCGGAACCTGGGCGCCTGGCAACGGGCAAACACTCCTCCCCCAGGGGCAGGTGAGGCAGTAGGTTCCAGCTGGGCCCATGGCTTTCAGGAGGGGTGGCCTGGCCAGAAAATATGGGGCGGGGTGGGTGGGGCGGGATTCCAGGGTGGGGAGGAGGGCAGGCTTGGGGCCTAGGAATGAAAGAATGCCTCCTTCCCCCTCTCCCTCCTCCTCATCTAATATACATCTAACATGCTCTCCACCAGTGGCAGCACCAACCACAGGCCAACCAAGCTAAGCACACAGAGCTGCTCCCTGCTCCCCTATGCCCAGACTCAGCCCCATGGTCCACATCGCAGCACAGTGAGCACTCAAAAATGTGGGTGCACACTCTGAATAAAGCCTGAAGGCTCACCCTGGCCTGTGAGGTGCTCTGTGCTCTGGTCTCCCCTCCTGCCTCTTGTAGGCCTCCCTGGTGTTCCTTGAACACACCTGCTGTTCCCTAC